ATTTAATTCAATACTTAATTTAAACTATCTTTCTTCACTAGTGCATTTGTCATCAACAAATCATGATGGAGTGCAGATCTTTATGACTACCCTAACCAACTCATGCTCCTTAATCTAATTTCTAAGCACTTTTCATGTTTCTTCTGTCTATATCCATTCAAGCTGGTGACTCCATAATGAATACTGAATGTATATGGCAGTATCTACTTGGTTATTAATCTTGTATGTTCCTGTGTGGAAATAGTAGAGCAATCTTAATAAGGTTTGAAGGCTGCTGAGACCTACAGATGTCCTGTTAGCACAGAATTGTGGCTCACTCTGGGAAAGGCTGGAAAGTATGAACAGGAGGCACATGTAAAGAAGACTGCAGAACAGGTTTGGAATCCTAAAACCACTGCTGTCCACTGAGTCTAAAGCAGTAAACCATACGGGCCAAATCTAGAGAGAAAATCTGATTTAGTTGTTACTCTGTTTTTCTGAGTCACCCAGAAGTAGGAAGCATTAAAGTTCTCTGAAACCACAACATCCAAGACTTAAAAATCAATTTCCTTAGACTGATATCTGTATCACATTTTCATGGTTTTGTTTTCTGTTGAAGTCAGTTGAGAGTAAATCTAGAAATGCAATTTGTGTTACAAATACATCTTTACTCTTCACTTTCTAATGTCTTAAGACTCATGTTTGGGTTTTAGCTGCTGCCACAGAAACCAAATAAATCAGTGACTATCAGCTAGAGAAGGAGAATGGCTGGATTTAGCTCTCAAGGTTTATTAAATTCTTAATTTTTTAGTTGATTCATTTTAATTGAAGAGCTGTTCATTTCTTTTCTGTGATGCAAGGAATGTGTATATCTGTGCTTTGACAAATTTGGATTGGATATTTTCTCCTGTAGATGCATTATTATTCCAGTTATTCCAGATAATGTTTAGTGTCTTCAGAGGAATCACATATACATGCTATAAATTTTCCTCAGCTGCAGGAAGAATAGTAGATGTCAGCTCTATGTAGAATCAACCTGATATACATATTGACTCTTAGGCAAGGCTCAATTTACTCTTGAACAAATGCTAGGTAACACTAGACTGCTCTAGGTTTGTAAAAATGCAATTGAAAGGGTAAAAATATTATGTTCTTATATGGTATCATTATTACCATTCAAGATTTTTTTAGTTCACTATTAAGCTGCTGGAAAATGCTCTACATTGGGCTAATTTACGGATAAAGTTTTTAACAGAGACTTGAAACTGTGCAATAGAATTTGCTTAAGACTTGAGTGTGACTTAAGTGAAATAAATGAAATTCTTTAATTTATATGAATATATATCTCATTACTGAAATTATCAAGCAGCAGTCACTCTAATATTATGAAACAAGCATTGTAAACGCTGGTCTAATTTCTCCTTTAGTTAAAATACTTCTGTTTTATTCCATAGTCCTCAGTTTTTAATTTATGGTGACTTTCTCTTTTTGGTGTGAGATGGAGAACTGAGAACATAATACATCTTGTTTTTTCCAAATTGATGAAAACCATTAAAACTGAAATGGAACTTCCTCACTTTGCTTTTAATACAACTTCATTTTGTGAATTTGCCTTTGTGGAATATTAGTTGAAGACAACATAAATTAGTTTTGGTTTCTGAAAAATGTCTGTACTCTAAAAATTCAAGTTCAAAATTGTAAGTATGGTATAGTAGTGAAATTAAAGAAGTTCTCACAAAGTTAGAAAATTGTTCTTCAGAAAATGATGCCAAACTATTTTTAAAAGAGTAATAATAATATTACAGTTACTGAAGAAAATGTCCTTCTGTAACCACACCATTATCTCAGCTGGGTTTTGTGCTAGAAAAAATGTCATTAGCTATAACACCAGGCTCCACAAGAGAGTTAGACATGTCATGTTTTAAAGGACAAGAATACTATATTTGTGATATCTTTGCACAGAAGAAAAGGCAGCATGTGATCTTGACGATATTTTGAACGCTGGAAATGCTAGAGGTCATAGTGAGCTGTAATTCTTAGAATAAGTGGTGAACCTATGGTGTTGAATTTTCACTGGGAGAAAAGGGACACACACAATGGGAGAAAAGGAGAAAAAGTACACACACAATGTTAAAAAAAATATAAAAAATGTGATGAATAAATTGAGCCAGAAATTCTGACAGTTGGAGATTAAAACCTCTTGAAGAGAATGTCTGGTCTAGCAATAACTAACTTAGCTTGACCATTCTTCTGGGAACTTGTGGTGCAAACAGGACTTCTATGAGGCTGATCTGCTGTTGATGGGGCTGAGACATAAAACATCTCTTTCTCAGCTGACCTTGACATTGGTCTCAATTGCAAATTTTTCTCTTTTGTTATCCTTTCCCAACGTCCCAAGAGAAGAACATGCCCAGTTTTTGATTACATATTATGCGTATGTTTGAATGATCAAAAGAGATAAACTTGTCTCAGCTTAGAGAATTAACACTTTTCAGAAAAATGCAGTGTCTACAACTGTGGCTCATTTCAAATGCAGACTTTTGTATTTACATGCTTGCACAGTCTTTAAAATGATCTTTCTTTTCTCTTGTAAAAAAAAAAAATTACAATAATTGTACCTTGATTTCAGATAAGGCTGACAGAACAGTGAAGTACAAATACAAAATACTATTGTTTCTTAATGAAGAATTGAAAATTTAACATCCAACTTTCTTATAGTGCTAAATAGAAAAATTAAGAAAATTTTATCAATCATTGTGATTATGTTTCTTAGCCACTTATTTGACTTACCATATAAGAATAATCCATATTAAATCTCATGGTTTAACACCTCATTTAATCACCTCTGTCTTAGGAAAGTTCAATTTACAACCAATTCCAGTAACAAAATAAGTTGTCCTAATTGCTCAGAGCAATAAACACTGCTGGAGAACAAGGAGCAGATAAATAGAGTAGAAGTATATGGACAATAAAAATGGCTAAAAATAAATGCTTAATTTTGGTTTTGCATAAAATGAGTTCCAAAATGAAAATGGATAAAATGAAATAATTCATCAAATTGATACATTTCAAAACCAGCCAGGTTTCAGCACAATTATATAGTCAAGTCCCAGTGAAATGTGACTTGAATTAAATTCAGACAATTACAGACTGCATCAACAATTTTCTGGTTGTGCTTGGGAGCTGGCCTCACCTGGATGCCTGCAAGGTAAAGAATAAAGTCAAAATAAGCTTTCATTAATGAAAGTATTTGTTAAAGCTGCTTGAAGCAAACAGAAAACAACAGAAGCTTTTAAAGAAAGGGAGTGACAGAGAATGCCAGTATGCTGAAGGAAAAAATTGATTAAGTTTGCTTATCAAAGAAACAAATTAGATGAACACATTTATTTGAATATTCTTAATTCTGTGTTGAATTCCTACTGAAACTACTTGATCAATTCAAAGATCCTAGTCATGAAACTCTTACTCCTTTATTTTGGGGCATGTGCCTGGGTAGGATGAGTTACAGCAAAAAGGTTTATGTTGATGTGCCTCTGTGTAAGGCATTTTCCTAAACTGACCATCTTGCCTCTCACACCAGTATTGACCAGCAGGAACTACAAGGCAGTCTTCCACTGGTAAAAACTGTGGGCAGAGAACAAAAGCACAAGTCTTTGATAAAGAGTCTTGTCTATTCCAGATGCCTAAATAACCATAAGTGTTATGTGATTCAGCACAAAACTTGTTTTCCAGCAATAGCAACTTGTTAATCTATGCAAAGTTATGCATTTTCATTTTAGTATCCAAATCCTTAAGTGACTATATTCACAATTACCATCTTTGTTTGCTCAAGATGAGAGTCTGCTGCTTTCAGATCTGTTAGATCTGGATTTGATTTGGTCTCCAGTAATTACCAAGAAGATGGTTGCTATAGCTGCACTAATGAAAGGGGTAATCATCTTCCCTTGAAGACAGTGTAAGCAAGCACAAATAAATAAAAAAAAAAAATCACATAGAATCACAGAATTGCAGGGGTTGGAAGGGAGCTTGGGGGATGGACATGAGTAGTATAAATGAGACCGTAACAGTGAAAATAAGATTTTATCCCTTTTCAGTCTCTTAATATACATCAACCTGGCAACACTCTACTCACCATTTAGCATGAGCCAGTACAAGTTTTTGATAGATATTTAAAGTATTATTTGCTTTATAGGATTATCTTCATCAAAATTTGAGCCATATTTTGTAGCACTTATTCATGTTGCCATTATTTACAGTGACAGTCTGTTTCCATAGTTGTTCTGATTACTATTATGGCAGTAACAGGCACATAGTTGAAAGTATTGAAGCCAAGAACACAGGGAAGTTTTATTTTAAATTAAATTTTTAAAAAATCCAATTAATTTTCAGTTAACTTTGTCAACTCCAATTCACTGAATTTAGATTTAAGTGCAATTCTCTTAAACAAACTTACTCTGAATTAGTGAAATAGTCTTGCAATGTAGCATGATGTAGCAGATGTGTACCAATATTAGTATTAAGGTGGAAAAGTTCATAGGGGCTGATCCTAGTAAGGTCACCATGGGATAAGCTTTCTTCACCATAACAGAATGTGGGAAACATCGCATGAACAGCGATTACTGGAAGAACACTACCCTTATATCACTACATATTCTACTAGTAGATGGGAATTGCTTACCTGAATTATTCAGTACTCTTTTAATAGATCTTAATCTTTCTTGAAAATGCTGTGTAATGCTAACGTATTATCTTGTTAGTAGGTTAAACAGAGGTATGTTTCTTTTTGGAGACGCTAGATATTGGAACAACATTGGTTGATGAATAAAATCAGTGGTGCTTATTTTACTGCAAATCTTTTGCTACCTATTCAATATATTTGATATTTTAAGGGAAGAATGCAAGTATCACATGGCCAAATTACACTAGTTGGAAGCACTGCTGTTACTGTTGTTATCTGATTTCTGATTCTGACTTAGCACTTTGCAAACTGTATACTTTTTCTTCTCTGCTTTATTTTCCAGTTAACTTTGACCATTTTCAAATATTGCGGGCTATTGGCAAAGGGAGTTTTGGAAAGGTAAGGATTAATTTATTTTTAACAATCAAAAATTTAGTAGAGAATTAATTTGTGTTTTTCTACCCTTGACCAGATAAAGGAATGTAAGTTTGGTTGTCTTTTGCTTCTCAAGGACATCTGATCACAATCATAATGACTTTAATTATAAACTTTTCTGTTACAATGAATTCTGTAAAGCTAATTGAGTAAAAACATTTTAATAATTAAGCCTTTTCAATGAGGATTAGCAAAGTTAAGAAATCAGTCCCCAAAACAAGAACACGAAAAAAAGTAGAAGCAGTCTACGTTTTTGGAACGTCTACTCAAGCAATCTTGTTTTGAAATCATTGGACTCATTCATGTGCTTAAAGTTATTGTAATATTTTAAAGACACTTTACATAGATTCACTGCACTTGGGAACTATATAAAATTACTGTAATTGTGATCATTGATTAAATATTTGTTCAATTCAGTGGGGTTTTGCTGAAACAGAGAAGATTCATGTTTTGTTTACACATGAGTAGATGATCTTTTTTACTAAAATAAAGACCATAACAAAGTTTTAAATTTTAATGCGTTTTAAAACAAGGCCATGCAGAAAATTGTAGTACAAAAATACTAGAAGCCATAAGAAATAAATCTGCAAGTGAAACATAACTTCATTAGCTGGTCAAGCAATGATGATAAGATCTAGATCTTAATTTAAATTATACTTGAGAAATACTCCTGTATTTCTACATTAAACACATACCTAGGATTTTGTTGGCTCTTGGCCTTTCACATGGAAAAATAACTTCCAGTTTACAGTATTCTGAAATACTTTGTGCAAAAGAACATGGTCCTCTGTGGCATGGTCCTTATTCACCTCAGTATATTACAACAGTAGCCCTCTCTGGGTATCAAACAAGACAATATGTTTTGCCAGTGCAAAACTGTGGCCAAGAATCCTTTATAAGTCAAGGCAGCCAGAAATTTGTAATTACTTATTGTCACAATACATCACATCACTGGAATATCAAATCAAGTCAAACAGAGATCCCCTTCATGTAGTGAAGTTAGGTCCAGAGTAAGTAATAGAAAGTTTATTTAAATCTTGCTGTCCATCACAAAGATCACCTGCACACCTCCTTCTTTAAAGTTTCTCCATTCACACCTCTGTTGTCTCTGCTTTCTCAAAGGGGCCCTCACCCTCCCATGACATGCAGAAAAAGTAACACAAGCCTACATGCTTTTTGAAGACTTGGTTGATGATTGATAGACTCTTCTCCATGGTATTTAGGAAACAATTGTGAATGTTTCTATAATATTTCTTAAACATCTAATTGTTTTTGTATGGCTGTTCTTGTGAACCTGCTTTGGGAATATGTATGTTTGGGAATAGTTTCACAACCCTTAGGGACTATTATTTATGTGTATGGTCCCCTTTAAACTTAAATCCTTATTTTGTAGTTGTCAGTGAAACAGAACAGACTTTGGCATAACAGGCTTGTTTTTCCCAAACCAATACAAGCTTCCAGCCAATCGCCTGATTTTGCTTTCCACAGTGAGGGTAAGAAAGTAACCCTTTTAGAAATGACATATTATACCACAGCCAAAAGCACAGCACGGTATATCAGTCACAATTTCAAGTGTCTATGAGTCAGTCTTGCCTTTGCCATTCATTCAGAAGCCTCATTGCTGGCAACTTTTCCAATTACTGTCTTTGTGGGAGCACCTGGCAGCAGAAAATGTCAACAAATGATGCAAGAACTCTAATCTGTATTGAATTGCTGTTTACTGTTTGGGGTCTATTGTGCTCTAGCATCCTGCAACATGTAAAACCATGTTAGGTATTACATTTTTCTCAAACTGCCTTCTGCCGTTAAGACTGCTCTTTGGCCTTTTTTGCCTTCTGAGAGCAGTAGGATTTTTAAGGCATGCTCTACTTTTTATTTTTTATTTATTTATTTTTTATTGCTATTGGTACAATTGTCTTCCAACATTTCTTAAAGTACTTTGGTTGCTACAGCAACATTAGGCCTCCACAGGACATTGCTGCAGGAGGTGTCTGCTATTGGCAGAGACCCCTCACTCTCAGCTCTTCTTAGTGCACTGAGTTCAAGGTAACTCTCAGCACCTTTCCTCCTCCACTGGGGGTGAATGCTTCAGCAGCTATACTCTGTCCCTCCCAGCTGGCTTCAGAAGGCAGCTTCCTGTCTTCTACTCTGGAATTTTCATGTCAGAGTAGTAACATCTGCTGTTATAGGAATTTTCCTGGTTCATTTGGTATCAAAGGCTCTATATCTCAAAAGCCTGTCTTTTCTGAGAAGTGGCCTCCCATTTTAAACAACTGCACTAAAACATATTCTTCTCCTAAGGACATTTAAGGCAGTAGAGTCTTCCACCCCCTGTAGCACATTCTGTGGGGAAGGTAAAGATGCATCACATCAGTTGTGAGGAGTTTAGGATAAAAGGAAAAAAAAAACTCCACGGAGCATTTATTCGTATATTAAATATTGTTCTAAGTAAACTCAGAAGTGGATGATATAAAATCCACAAAATAAAACTTCTGAACACTGGTCTAAATAGTCATTTCTTTATGCCGTCATACCTTAGAAGTATTCTCTCATATTTAATCTGGCTAAATTTATCTGTTTTGTTCTATGTAGAGCCATCATTATCAACCAAAATATCACAAAAAATATATACTTGAAGACTGTCCGACAACCACAAAATTGACTTAGATTGAAATACAAGAATTACCATTTTTCTTTACTGCAACAGTAACATATAATTGCAGGCTTACTGCCACGACAATAGTTTGTATTCAGGTGCAGGTGATTTCTAGGAAATCCTAGGATTTCTAGGAAAATTACAATACCATTTTTCTTCAAGGTCTTTGTATCTGTGAGCAGGTATATTGAACAATCTGACCTACTTAAATTAAATTCAAATTATGATAAGAATATACTGATTCTTTTTCCAATTTCTCTAAGATGCTGAGACATAGGACTTAGTTCTTATTAATTTGGTTGTATAAAAGAGTGACTTCGTGAATTGAAATTGCCATGGTGTAAAACAGATGGGAGCCCATAATCACATCTGCACTGATCAAGGATACTTCACTATATATGATAATGCATAAATAATATGCAAAGAATTTCAGAATAAATCTCCTGTTATCTTTAAAGTAACATAACACACAGCCTCAGAATATTATTATTGTTTGACAGTATAACCACCAACTTATTTGGATTGAGTTAATATGAAAGGATACCAAGCAGATGCTCAGCTTCTTTTCCAGCTGTCATACTTTGCTCAGGGGAATGTAGGAATGAATCCTTCTATTTCATGGGAATTCCCTAACAGTGTAAATTCAAACTTATGACATCAAGTCTCCAGCCTCTTTGTGTAAATCTTTCCACTTGTAGGCTGAAAAAATGATCATTCATTATTTAGAGTGTGTATGTAAAAACATACATGCAATTTTTCTGCTTCATAGCAGATTTGTTGCTTCACTGACTTCATGTTAGTGGGAAAGTCTAGCTTTTTATGCATCCCCACCTTTTGGGAAAAGCTTCTCTGAATCTACCTATAACTGCTCCTTCATAGCAGTAAACACCTTTGGCAGCAAACCAGTAGGAAATTCCATACAAGTTTCATTCCATATAACTCTGATATCCTTTCCCAGATCTGCCCATGGGGAACTCAGTCATCCATAACAGTCTTAATGCAAGGTAACCTATTAACCTGCAGGTAATCTGTTTTTTCATTTGGATGAAAAAACATTTTCATTTTGATGATAGTTTAGAAGTGGACTCTCTGAAGTGTAGTTTAGCCCTGCAATGATAATCTATGGGTTTTGTTCTTTTGGTTCTAAGAGTAAATGTCTCCAAGTTTTGGCTAATTGCTTTTAACTTTGTAGATTTGAAAGTAATTCAGAGTTTCCCTCTCCTAGATGTAAAAAAGACACAACCCTGTGGTAACAACTAAAACACATAGCCCTTTTAGGGAAAGGGTATTTGCACATAAGACTTCTAAAGATAAGCACAGTTTAAATCCAGACAAAATTACTGAGGATTTGTACTGCCTAGCTTTCAACTTCCTTACATCCAAACTAATCATGTAGAGTCACTTTAGAGAGACTTCAGAAGAGAAGACATATTAGAGCATTTAGACCCATAACTTAGTGAGAAATGGATATTCCTGTTCCCCCCTCCTGACTCTGAAGCTATATGGGGTTTGAAGTATCTCCACAGGGACTACTGAAGCAGTGATATCAATTTGATCAGGGCACAGCAAATGATATTCATAGGAAAATAGAAAGATGATGTTTTATTAATGTGTGCATGACAGGCTTCCATGCTGATATGTGTAAATAAGGCAATTCTGCTCAGACTTCCACAATAATGAATCACAGAACTTTGTTGAGGTGGCAGACCACCTGTGTGTCCCCACTTTAAAACTTCTCCATTGGAAAAAAAGTCAACCATAAACTAACAAAAAAAAAAAAAAAAAAAAAAAAGAAACATTTCCCATTAGGATTGCTAATGGCCCAGGAGAGCTGGAGGGTTTTGCTTTCTTTCTTGCAGCAGAGGAGCATTTTTTGCCCATTAACAGTGGGCTCAGAACAGCACATTAGCAGTGCTCAGAAGAACTGCTGACAGCCATCATGTAAAAATGCCAGGAAGGATCTCCTCTACTATTCAGCACTGTCACAGAAATGTCAGGCATTTTTCAAAGTAACATCGATATATTTGCAGCTTGGAATTCTTGATATTTAGCAAAAATAACTTTTGTGTATTAATAGAAGTACCATTGATTTTGAAACCAGGTTAGAAGATGTGAATAGATACTATGCTGCTAACAAATGCTTCCTTTGGTTGCGTTAGCTAAATGTTAAGCAACCTTCTACTAGCAACATGTGTGCTCTTGACTAGAAAATTTTAGCTGTGCTTAATGCCCCTGTTTCAAGGTGAGAGAACCAAAATCCTTCTGGAGTCACATCAGTGTTTTAAAACTGATTCCGTTTATGTTCTCTATTCAGGTGTTGTATGTGAACTTTGTTTGGCTCATTTGTCAAACCTATCAATTCTCAGCTGAGTAAAGGCCCATTTTGCCAGCAGTCTTACTGATGAACTATTTAATACAGATGTTTTTCAAATAATGGAAAAGGAAACATACAAACATCATGGTCTCAGCCAAATTTCATATGAAAATCATGCTGCAAATTCAGGTAAGCGAATGAACTTCTGAACTTAGTTAGATTCCAAACCCAAATCTATAAAATATTATATTTCATAATTGATTCACCAAATTGGAGGGTTCAAGTAATCGTAGACTAAGTTTCAGGAATTGCCATTGCAAAATCTGCTTGTACTTATGAAGAAGTTGTGGAAGCCTCAGCTGCTTTCTCCGTTTCAGTTCAGCTCCACCTGCTGTCTCTTCTCTAAAAAGGCCATTTCCTCACTGTTCCATAGCTTGGGTTCTTTCTGTATCAGTTTAATCCTTTAATTATCTTCAGGACATCACAAGTATTGTGTCTTTGCATAACGTCACAAGGAAGAAAAAGAAATAAAACTTTACTACTTACCACTGTACAACACCAATGGGCTCAAGATGAAACACTCTCATCCATGTTTTGTTTAATTAGCAGAACATCTGATATTAGGAAAGGTAATCAGAAACTACTTCATCCACCTTGTCATTATAAGTTAAAAATTTTCTGTTAACTCCTATATTTAGAGTAGATTTGAGCTCAAGGATGTTCTTCATGGAAAAGGAGTTGTAGAGAAACAAATGTGGTTCATTTTCACTGGGACAGTTCCTCTTGAGACATTGGAAAAAGGCAGGGGAAATAAAATATACTGATTTTAGGCTCCTGATGCCTTTCCTCTGAGATTAAAATAGAAGTGAATATGTGGTACGACTCTCTACAGCCCTCATCCCAGTTCTAGTGGTTTATTAGCAGGCTGTGTATCCAGAAGGCATCTTTTAAAACACCTCAGTCCTTCCAGATCACTTATGCATTTTGCGTATGCAAGTTCATTAAAATACAGCACAAAATTCCTTTTCTTTTTTATAGTGTACTGCAATTTGATCTTTGAGCACTGAGATGCATGTATATATGCATATATTATAATATGGGAATATGTGTGTATTTGTATGTACATAAATATGCAAATAAAATAATTCTGCCCACACCAAATAAATCCTTCATAACTCCCTTGTACTTGATTCCACCAAGGCGGTGGGATCTAAACAAGATGCTTCCAATGCATGTTCTTCATACTCTTGATGGTGAAAAATTCTGATTGGGGCTGATGGCTGTATCAGTGATATGAATGTTGCATCAAAATAAAATCTTCAGCTGGTATTCTCTTGGCTGTCAAGATGCACTAGGAGTGTCATTTTTAAAAAGTCTTGATTAATGGAAAAAAACCTTCAGAGTAAAAGTCTACTTATGATAGAGTTTTGCCCCATGGGTGAGTGTAGGGAAGTTATAAAGATGAGATTCATACCACCTTTGGGGATGAGATACAAATGAAGCTATTATTTCGGTGTTACTGAAAATTGTATGTAAAATGATGATTGTTAGATGTGGTGCTGGTGACACTCTCTAGCTTAATTCTCAAGGGAAATACTATGATGACAAATAGAATTTTAAAAATCTGAGTTTTAGATACGAGCTCATTAGAATGAGATTTTCATGTTGCATTTACAAAATTATTTGACTTTAGTATAAATAAATAAATAAATAAATGAGAAGAAGAAAAATAAAGCGAAGAAATTTACTTCCAGAGATTAAATCAGTGTAACTGTGACTTCAAAAAGAGCATGATGTAGCTCTGTACAAAGATATATTTTTATCTTCAATAATAATTAAAAGAGAATAATTCTGATATCAAGATGAAATATTAGCCTTCTGAACATAGGCAATGTTTATGACGCAGTAATCATGAAGTGTGTATTGACTTATGTGAATGAGGACACTGACTGTGCATTTTCCTAGACAGGAGGCAGTAATTTCTGTGACTCACAAAATAGCCTATGATTCAATATAATTGAGTGTATTTCTCTTAGATACACTGCAACTGGAAGTTCTATCACTTTTCTGAGTTTCCCAGCATGTTGGCTTACAAAGTGATTACAAAGAATTCTGCTTAGCTGCGACATGGACTTTATGAAAGTGTTTGGTTGAATTTCATTTTGTGTTAAACATTATCATTTACTTTGCTGTTAATTAGGTGTGCATTGTACAGAAGAGAGACACCAAGAAAATGTATGCCATGAAATACATGAATAAACAGAAGTGCATTGAGAGAGATGAAGTTCGGAATGTTTTTCGGGAGCTACAGATCATGCAAGGCCTAGAGCATCCCTTCCTAGTCAACCTGTGGTAAGAAACCCTTTAAAATTCTGTCAAGGATTTCTTCCTTTCTCCTTACTGCTGAATTGGTTCAGGATGGAAAACTGAAAATATTTTTTTAAATGGTGACCTTTTTTAAATGTATTTTTGTTTTGAGATTTTTATTTTTCAGTAATGTTTTAAAAATGCTCTTTAATACTTAAATACATTCTCATTTTCCTTTCTGGTGTAGCTTCTCTCCAGATTGTTACAGCAGTGAATGTGCACTGTTCCGCCCATCTTCACTGTTTCTTTCTGACAGTACTTGGATTAGACAACTGTTGTAAGGTTGCAAAATATCAAAACTAAGCATTCAATAAAAAAACATTTTGAGTCAATTCAAAAACAAATTCGAGATTCAACCACTCTTAAAAAAATGGTGAACATTGACACAGACCAATGGGAATGAACCTTTTTGTCATCTGGAATTTCTAATATCTTCTCTGTCATAGCCAATGAATGGCTCATTCAGAGACAAGAAAGTGTTGTGAGAAAATATTGGTCAAGTAATAACTAGCTTTAGCTACACCAATAAATTAAAATATTTGATGGCTTTTATGTAGTGATATTCTTAATGAGATACAGATTTTTCCTCCCTTATCTAAAAATGACCTATATAATAATAAAAAGGATACATAAATCATTATGTGATTTTTTTTTTCTTCAGTTAGTGAACAGCTTGATTGTCCAGAAATGGTCACAGCACAAACAGCATTCTATTTTGAGTGTTTTTTTTTCTATCTTACTGGAGGTCAGTGTCTACCCTACAATATTTTTCTTCTCTTTTACTGCAGTTTTCTCCTGCATATGTGGGAAATTTCATGTTGTCATCCTAACACCTTTCATGATCTGAAAGCTAAATTATTTTCTGGCTTGAGTGAGCACAGCTTTGGTGTAATTGCACCCACTTAAAGCAGCAGAGTATTTGTTCCCAAAATTCATTTAGAAAGGGTCTAATCATATACATATGCCTCAAGTGCTCCTCTCTTGACATGGATGATAATACTTGAGCTAACCTAATGACCTGTTAGAAGCTTAAAGGAAAATTGCACACATTACAACAGTAATACAGATCTTTTGTTGTGTATTCTCCAAGGTTCCAGCAACGTTTCCTCCATGGATTTCATCACCAAAAACATGATATCTCTGATCTTAGGAACATGTGGAAATTTCAGTCATGCATTTGTGTAGCCTCTTTTGAACCCATGCAAACTTTTTTTCTTTAACAAGAAAAGACAAATATTTCCACTGTGTAACTAGACATTGTGCAGAAACAATCATAGGCTAATGTGACTGACAAGATACTTCAGTAAATATAACAATGTTATAAATAAATATCAAACATTTATTGTGAAACAGAAAGTAGGTTAGATTCCAATTACCCAGTTATAATCAGCTAAGGAATATTCATTCTTGTCTTCCTCTTTTAAGCCAAATATTAACCTTGGAATAGATAATACCTGGGTGTGATGATGATTTTTTTGCAAATAATTAATTTCTTCTTATATTTCTAAAACACTATCAGAAGATCTCGAGACTCAAATGTTATACTACATCTATGCATGAGAAAAATAGAAAATGAAAAACAACTGTAATACACTAGAATTAGAAAAATGTTTCAGGTGAGAAGAGCACTATTCAGGATTCACCAGTGCATGTGGAACAATATTCCACATCTAATGCCTCCAGTAATGCTTAAAGCTGACCGGTCTACCTAGGATGCTATTCTGGGAGGATGACATGAGTTTTCTTTGAAGGCATCAGGCCAGACTATCAGATCATGTAATCACTGACAGAACATCTGTCAGAGATGGGGCCTAAAATTTATCACCTGCATGACAGCTTGTGGCCCAGCTCAGCAACCAAAGTTCCTGTCTCCCAGGATGTGCTTCCAATGTTCTTTGTCAAACTTGATCACAATATGAGAGAAGATAATATGCAATAAATTGAAGGCTCATATCAAGATTTAAAAGCAGTGACTGCATTCAAGGATTCATGTCAAGCCATGCAATTCACCTGTACAATCATACAGGTTACATATGCATATATTTCTGTAGCATACACAGCTCTGAATAGCCAGAAACGTCTATGTAGGTATTCTTTGATTTTTCTTACAGCTAAAATGTGGTTTCACAAAGATACATCTAAGCAAGAAGGGGGAAGAGCATCTGGGAACACTCCCTGGCATGGCCTGGTGCAGCTGGAACATTTGGGTGTACCCAAATGGCTCCCAGGATTGCTCCAGAGTCATAACATCCCCGAGATCACCCTGGTGTGGCTAGCAGAGGTACAAAGAGTTCCCTGCCAGCTAGTCTTGGTGCTCAGAAATACACTTCAGCATGTTTAGTCTGCTGGTATAATCAGAGAATAGCTAAGCTGCAGGGCATCCCATCCTAGTGACTTCTCTACATTCTTCCTAAAAAAAGGGCAAGTACATGATCAAATGCTGGATATATGCAATATTACTGAGACTAAGGGGCTAAGACATGCAAAATTAGAGCTGGAGAAAATTAACCAAAACCAATTTCATTGACAGTACTTAGCATTTTCAGCCTAGAGTGTTTAAATCAAGTATTGAATATTCAAATTTCCAGTAATTCCAACTCCTGACTCCAAAGAAAGGCGTCAAACTATATTTCACCTTGGGATATCATGCCAAAGAGATGTTTTGAATCCAGGCCTTCCCCAAATAACTTGTTCCATAAGATGTATCTATAATTAGCCTTGCACAATCATAAGTGTGTTTAAAATATCTTCTTACATATTTCTGGAACATCTAAGCTTGTAGATGCAGTTGCATATCCCCAATCTTCAAATGTTTAATATTTGCCCAAATTTCAAGATATTCAGCATCTTGTCTTCAAATTATGACTTCTGTTGTTGAACTACAACTGAGGCAAAACACAAAAATCACAAGGGAGTTATGAATATTGATCTTATGTATTTTATCAACACTGAGCCACATGAAGCTACTAAATGTATTAAAAATATTGCCTTTAGTTATTGAAACTACATTTTTTAAAATATATTAGAATGAAAAGTGGAACACTGTATGTACAAATGGGATATTCCTTAAATAGGTTTTGTGTTCTCAGCAATATCTCTTAGACCAGCAGCATTTTCATTGATTGTTTGTGAATTAGCAGCTTGTTTAATGTCTTTTCACTTGCAGTCTAGATACAATAATAATTTGCATCAAGTATGGCTATGTTGTAGTTATAACTTATATTAGATTATTATCAGGAATCTATAAGATTTCCTCTTAGGAGACAATTCCTGGCATACTAATGGAAGAAGACAGTTGAAGCTTCATTTCTTCTATAATAACTGCAATTACATTTGTGGTTTTTTTTTTTTCTAAGTTAGCTTTTTTCCCCTGATCATTTTATTGGTTGCATTATAAGTGTACAAATGGAACTGTAACAAGAGCTACTAACTCATGTCTAATAAACTGTAAAACGAATATAAAAAGAGGCAGTTATTTCATGCTATGGGCATGAACAGACCTACATCTTGCATAAATGTTGGGTTCCCTTTGACCGTACCGTTTTTGACTAATTTGTCTTTCAAGATTCTATCACACTCACTAAGGGTCAGTGTTTTCATATCATTTTTCAGGAATCCCACATAAGATGCAATTTTGGTGAATAAAACAGAGAAATCCATCAGCCTACTAAACTTAAGAGGCATCTCCCTACTTTCATAGGGTATCTAGCTTTGATTTCTAACATATTCAGAAGTAGCTATTCTGAGAAGTAGCAATTCTGCCACCTAAAGCTCCATTGTAAGCTCTATTTAAATTGACAACTAGACTGTTCATCTAATTAATAAATGATTAACACTCCTATAGTAAGTCAGAAATTCAGTTGGCAGATTCCTATCAAGATGAGTAGTGGTGCACAACTTTTCCAAACTGGTGGCACATGGTTGTTTTACATTAGATTTTCATTGGAAAAAAAGCCAAAATCAGGATTATGAACTGTAGTAAAGTTCACACAAACTACTTTGTGGGTTTCTGGTTAAAACACCTTGTAGTCTATGGAAAACAAAGAATTTGACTTCCCAGGCGGAGAAGAAAATATAGCCCATGCATCCTGCTTTCCAGATGAGCTGTCTACTCATCAACTAAAAAAAAGTGTTGGCAATGCTAACAGCTTTTTGGATATAAATCTACCTTATTCACTCATTGCAACCACGGTGAAAAGTAATAACCTAGCTGGACCATACTATATAACATTATCCCTTCTCCTTGACTCAGCCCTCTATAAATACTCACTTAAATGAAGCAACACTTAAGCCTGGATCTGGTCTGCTATACTTTTATCTGGAAATTATGATATAAAAAAAAACCAACACATGGAATTTATTATCACAGTGCTTGCATTTTAAAAAATCATTATTTTCTGTAAGAATCATCAGCTTTCTTTTTTTTACTTTTTTCTTTTTTTTCTTTTTGGTTCTAGGATGACTTATAATAAAATCTTATTTCTTTTAATTCAAAAAATCAAACCCCAAATGCATACTGAGAAACGTATTTGGAGGAAATTCCACTGTTGATAGTTTTTCTTGAGTTTGTAGACTTGCCCCTAACAAAGATTGCTGATTTCTTAATGGTAATATCCAACCCTTGTAGAAATACATACTAAAATTAATGTAGCATTAAATCTCCCAACAGTTCCTTGTATCAAAGGGAATACTAACCAAGCACATATCTTTCTCTGAGGAACTGCATCATCAAAGAGAAAAGTTGAAAACCAGGAAACAAATATGAGGACAAGTCTTTTAGTTATATATTATAAATGTACAAAGAGGTAATGAGAAATGTAATCTGTTAAATCCTTCTGTGAAGAAATAAAAGAGGAAAGAAAGTAAACTTTTTTTTAGTGGGCAACTGTTAGCATCCCTCTGTAATCCCAACATATAAAAGAATACAGAGCAGCTAATAGAAAACATGAGTAGCATCTTATGATTTCAAAAGTTCTATATTCAAA